TCATTTACCGAGAGCTGATTAGGAGGTGTACATAGATTTTAAAATGTTTGTAATGGGAGCAAAGTGCTTTCATTTTCTGAAGCTTGTACCCTGCACTGAACAAGTTATACTCATCCATAGCCAAGGAACAGAACACAGTGCAAAATAAGGGAAGACTGATGCACGGAAGTACAACTGTGAATCCTGACTTTTGAGCTTTTATATGAATGGTTGTGAAAGTATCCTCAGTACTTCAGTACAAGTGGAGGATCAGAAGGGGAAGATTACAGGATTGATTCACAGTTGTGAGTGTCTGGGTCAATTGTGAGGGGTTGGTTTCAAGGAGCCTCCTGGGAAAAAGTGACAGGTTGAGAAACTGGAGAGGTGTGAAAGAACCAACAGAGCAGGAAAGAGGGACAGAAAGAGAGTTTCAGAGGGAGCACAGTCCTGGGTGGTTATAAGTGCAGGGTGGGACAGTGGGATTGGGTTGCTGAAGTGGGATGCAGGGTAGGTCACTGGTGTTGAGACAATCAAGAAATTAGGAGGCAATGAATTTGATGACTCAGTCTTGTTGATGGAAAGGCTTCATGGAAAATCTTCATTTCCATTCAATAAATAGTTATTAAGCAGTCTATGTGTGACAGGGATTATGCTAGACATATTGACCTGGATAGAGGGTAAGAGAAGATGACGGGATCATGAGAACAGTGTAATATTTGGGGCTTTTCAATTCCCAGTTTTATAGTCGATGTTAATTTCCACCTTGGTCTTGGCTATGATTAGCAGCTCTCTTTTTTTCTTGTTTTCTTTTTTACTCCTAAGTCCTCTCAAGGGTACCCCAAAGTTTCAGTTGCTTGAACTAACTGGAGACTGTTTTAGTCTTAAAAATCTTTCAGGTTGAAGGCTTCCCCCTCATCCCCATTCCATCTGTGATTTCTTTTCTAGATTGTTCCTTTGCTCTGCATGGGAGCTAACAGATAACCCACAGGTGCCAGGCCATCGTTGCCTGGCCTCTAATGCATATATGAAGGTGGATGTAGGGACTTCCCATGTGTTCTGGTCAGCAAATCCCACCTGTGTACAAAAACACAGGAATAACAATATGTCATATAACATGGTTTAATATGTCATCAGGTGTTGGTATCCCTGCCACCCACTTCCGTATGCATTTTCTATTTCTTTTTATTTCTTTTTTTCTGCAGTCATATAGCCAGCCTAAAACAAAAATGAAATTAAATGTTTGTTCCAGTCTCAGAAGTACGCATTTATCCACATTTGTATACCTTATGTTGGCATGACCTTCTTTGACAATTTTTTTAAGCTTAATTTTTTTTTAATAGAGGCAACTTTTGGCATTCCTATCTAGATTGTGATGATAATGTGACATCTCTGAAGTAACCAAAATAAGTCACCCTGTTTAAGTGCTGCTCTTTAGAAGCAGTGATTCACTACAGCCTTATTTGTCTCCAAAATATTTTTAATATAAAAATTAAACGATTATTTCAAACGATGCAATGATGCGAAAGGAGGAGTCTTTCTTGCGTAGACCATTCCTGAATACACAAGAAAGGGTAGTGTTTAACGCTTGCATTCCACCTGCAAGAAGCCTGTATCATGGAGCACCTCTCTCTCCAGGCTCATACAGTGCTCGCCAGTCTCGGCCTCAGCCTTATTTGGGCTGAGGAAGAATGGCCCGGCAGGGGCTGCAGCTGCTTCCGAGGTTTGTGGAGCTGGTTGAGGAAGCAGCGGGAAATGAGCAGCAGTATTTTTCTGGGATTGGTAGCAGGGCACTGGATTCTCTATGCTCCGGAAGTGTGGCAGGAAGCTGTGTGGGGAATTCTGCTCTGTGTGGGGCACCGAGAGAGAGAGCCAGCCCCACTCCGGTCAAGATGCTCCCATTCCCTGGAACTTGTCCCCTGCACTGAATAGGTTATGCCTACCCATAGGAATATCCTCGGGTCTCACTTAATTATCCCACGTGGTCATCTTAAAATTCCTTCTCCAGAAATGCTTCTGTTCTTCAAGGGTTTGATAACCTGCGTTTTGTCTCTGATATTAGCGGCACCTTCATTCCGTAGTTATCCTCACTTCTCTTTCTTCGTTTGCAGCTTCATCTCTCACATCCTTTCCGTTTTGCCGAGAGCTTTGCTTCTTCCAAGGCTTCATATTTCTCCTATGAACAGTGCTCAGGTTTGCATGTGGAAAGTTTCCTTGTTATCTTATGAATGTATTTTTTTCTTAGGAAAAACTTGCAGGCTCTCCCCTCGGTTTGTAATTACAACTTAATTCTCTTTGAAGACCTCACCAGGTTTTGAAGAAAGACCTTGTTATTTGCTCTCCTTAGGAAAGAACATATCAAAAGACCACCATCTGTCTCATCTCCCTAAGGGCCAATGGATGCTCGGACTGAGGGGGCAAGGGGGCAAAGGGGGAAAGGGGGACAGGAGACCCCTCTCCCCCAGACATAAGGCTCCCAGTCTTCATCCTCCCCCTCGCTGGCAGCAGCTTCCAGGGCCTGAAGCATCTCCCGCAATGATGTGTGGCAGCTGGGAGAGTACTGACTTTGGGGTCAGTCCAGCCTCATCTCAAATCCCCATCTACCATTTCCTGCCTATGGTACTTTGGGCTTGTTGCCTAATCCCCTGAGTCTTCTCTCATCTGTAAAATGGAGTCAATAACATTAACCTGATAGATTGTTGTCAATATTAAATGAAATGACGAATCCAGTGGCTGACAGATAGTAGAGTAGGTGCTAAATAAAATACAGTTGTTATTATTACTGTTCCTAGAATGCATTAGTAGCTTAGAAGCTTGGTGTTGGTTTCAGCACTTACTGTATTTAAGAAAGAAATAAATAAACACTTGCTCCTAAAAGGTTCTTTCAAGAAGTTGAACGTGAAACTCCTTAAAGGCAGGCACCACCCAGCCTTAATAAATATATTCCCCATGCACACTTGTAGCTCGCCTCAATGAATGCCATTTGTTTCTGTAGCTGCCTTGGCAGCAGTCATCTCTCCTTTGCCCTAATGACTCCTTTCTGGGACCGACCCTGTGGAGCTCAGCACCACCTCCAGGTTCTGCCTGAACTGATAAGGCACTTCGTGAAAATGTCTCCTGTCCCTGTGTTCCTGTGGACATACTGTGCCCCGTCCCCCTTGGAGTGCTGAGGTGCCCACATAAGTGAAATCTCACAAGAAAGCTCAAACTGGATGTGGGAACTAAACTTTAATAGAAATCTTAGGTTACCCTTCTGTGTAATGTATTATGCAACCATGCTTAAATAATAACTGTCATTTTCAAGCGAAATAGAAAATAGTTTCTGCCTTCGGGGTGCCCGGTCCTTTAGAGATGAGACAAGTGCAAACAAAGCCATGTGCAATGTCATTTCTGTGAATGTGATGTTAAAAATGTGCGTGTGGGTTAGCCCCGGCATGACTCACAATGCAACACAAAGGCAAGCTGGATTTGCAAAGTGGAAACCCCCTGGCTGCTTATTCAGATCTCTGCCTTCTACATACTGTTTCCCTGTGTGGCTGCTTCCATTTTCTGATTTAAAAAAAGAAAGAAAGGAAAACTATGTAGAAAATCAAAATGAAAGCCTTAGGAGAGAATAGCTAAAAACACTTTATCTTTATATGCATGTCTAAAGCAGAGAACAAGCAAGGGTTTCAAAATGCATTTGCCTGCATTTGAGTAGTTAAGGATAAAGGCAGAGGTGTTGAACTCTAGGACAGGTAAAGTCTTGGAAATTTAGGGACACACCAGGACTTCTTTAGCAGATGTATGGAGGGTTCAAAGAATCCTGGAGCCTTGTATTTAACTACGCTAAGTACTGTACTTCCTCGGCAGGTAAGGCACTTGGGGACCTGTGGATGCACTTAGCTCCTCCTGAGTTCCCGGGCTGAGGTGGGCAGGTGTTATGAAGGGAACTCCCAGGAGGGACAACAGAAGGAACATGCTCACATGCATTGTGCTGTCAGTATTAGAACCAGCTTGACCGCTCATTCTCTTCCCTGGTTTCCACTTTCCCTCTCCTAATTTGAGCAGTGTTACAGGGGCACATCACTACAATGTGGTTTTCTCTCCCAAATTCTAATAGTAAGATTCTTATTAGAATTTGATTTTAGTCACTAAAATAAGAATATCCATTATTGAGCCCTACTTTGTGTCCAGCACTATGCTTAGCACCAGATAGAAAAATAGACAGTAGATAGAAAGATAGATAGATAGATAGATAGATAGATAGATAGATAGATAGATAGATAATGGATAGATGATTGATAGATAGAAAGATAAGTAATAGATGAATGAGACATCATCTATCACCTTCAATAAGGATGGATAAAGATAATATTTTGAGGTGGAAGAGAGGGAGTCTGAGGGAGTTTGTGTCTATCTACAGCCTTGATTTTTTTTTTTTAATGTGGCGAAAAAAAAGAAAAGAAAAGAAAAAAGAGGGAAGGGAACAAAGGGCAAAGAAGCCTGGAAGAAAGCAGTCTGGAAACAGTTGCCACACAGAATGCTAAGGAAAACAAAAGTGAGTTCAAAACCCAAACAGATCAGCAAATCTTATGATTCCTGGAGGAAAGCATTATCTCATCTTTTTTTTTTTTAAGATTTACTTATTTATTTGAGAGAGGGAGGGCGCATGAGTTGGGGGAGGGTCAGAGGAAAGCACATCCAGCAGATTCTGCCCACTGAGCGCGGAGCCCAAGGTGAGGCTTCATCTCACCACCCTGAGATCATGACCTGAGCTGAAACCAAGAGCTGGGCCCTCAGCCGACTGAGCCACCCAGGCGCCCCATGGGTTACCTCACCTTCGCTCTTGCCACCGTCACCATCATTATCTTTGTTATCTTCCCCAGAACAAATTGTTTTTGAGCCACATCATAACTTTGACATAGTTGAGAACATGATTCCTTTGCAAAACTGATCATCGTTTATGCTCGCTTCCTGCTTACCGCAGGGCTTGTAGGGTGGTTTGCTTCATGGCATCCTCCCTCTCGTGTGTGCTTGTTCAGGTGGAGCCACTGATACAGAGAGGCCACGAGAGTCTGGTCCACCACATCCTACTGTACCAGTGCAGCAGCAGCTTTAACGACAGCGTCCTGGACTATGGCCACGAGTGCTACCACCCTAACATGCCCGATGCGTTCCTCACCTGCGAGACCGTTATTTTCGCCTGGGCCATTGGTGGAGAGGTGGGACCAACAATTACTGAGATGTGACACTATTCATGGATCATGTTTCTTTCCCTTTGGTTCTAATACTTAGAAGTAAAGCTCTATACATTATTTCTGATAGGAGGGTGACTTATTTTTCTTCCCATTGGAAGCGATTCTCTCCTTATGCCATTTTGTTATGTCCACTCTAGATTATGGAGTTCCAGAATGTTGAAATATCTTTGAGAATGGTTGGTTTTTGCGTGAAATAGAACTTTTAGGGACTTTCATAGGGCACGTCTCATGGAATTTGCCTTATTTAGGGTTTTTCCTATCCACCTCATGTTGGATTATCCCTTGGCACTCCGTTAGATCCTCGTTATGTGCTCCTGGAAGTCCATTATGACAATCCGACATACAAGGAGGGTGAGTTTATTCTTCATATATTTTACCTATGATTTTTAAAAGTTTTGTAAGTATCTTAACAGGGTTGAAATAAACTACCACCCAGTCTTAGAAGGAATTAACCTATACATTGTCATCCAAATTAGGGTACTTTTTAGAGCAAAAGAGGATACTGTTAAAAATTACTTTGAGGAGGGTATGCGCTATGGCGAGCGCTGTGTATTGTGTAAGACTGATGAATCACAGACCTGTACCCCTGAAACAAATAATACATTATATGTTAATAATAAAAAAATTACACCGAGGCAACAGTGATTAACCAGCACTGAACCAGGCAAAATGAACGCACGTGGTCAGTGTTCTTAAAAAAACAATTTGCATCCTGCTTTCCAAGAAGTAGGATAATAGATTTTTCTCCTTGTGATATAAGTTAGTTCCCCAAACCTGGTGCTTATGAAACATTTCCTAACTGCTCATATGAAATGCTACCATTCATCACACTAGAAAATATTATTTTTATGTGTACAGACACACTGTGTAATATGATATTGAAATGAAGAGGGTTTGTACTTATATTTGATTTGTGAATCTACTTTTCTAAACCCTCTTATGTAATAATCCAAAACCAAAAATTTGAAAGATTCAATATGAAGTTCTCAACAGAAGTAACTCAAAGTTATTATTTTACACTGATGTGTGCAATTATTCAGCAAATACTGAGCACCAGCTCTGTCTCCTGTCTGTGCTTAATGATACAACGTGAGTGAAAACACACCAAACCAGGTGGAAATTATAGCGTAGTGAGAAAGAGAAACAATAAAAATAATCACACCAATTAATATAAAATTGTGTATATGCCAATGGTTCCAAAGTATCAATTTGGTAATCACAGGTAGGTAAGTCAACCCTGCAGAAAGGAGTCAATTAGTTTCGAAGTCAGTAGAACAGATTTATGAGGGGGTTGGGACTCTCCATCCTTATGATAACTGTCTCAGCAAGGAATGTGTCTTACTCATCTTTCATCCCCACATGCTTTCTAGTCACACAATAGATTATTAATATTTTTTGTTGATTGAATAACTTCATTGAGTGATTAAAAGAATGGTGGCAAACTATAAAGAAAATTAATCATCAGTAGTTTATTCTATCAGCAGATGGTTTCTAGACCAAGGGGCTTCTACCTCTATGGAAATGTTAGTGAACTTTACCTGAAAACAATATAAAATAAAGCTTTTGTTGAGTTATTCTATATTCTGATGAATGACTTTAGAATTTTCCTCTGGTCTATCTTTATGTTAGATTATTGTGGAATATATCAGCTAGACAACACAAACATTTCTCCTATGGTATACTGTGTAAGTCAAAAATGGTTGCAGACAATATGGTGACTTATGTTTTAATTGCTGTTTGTGAAACTGAATGTTGTCTTCCATTAATCTTTACTTGTAATTCTTTCCCTTGTGAGATTTTAAGGAAAATTAATAAATCCATTTCAACTGAATGTGGAGAACTTTTTTTTTAAGAACTCAAACTCACTTTTAATTATATGTTCTTATTCCAGACTTAATAGATAATTCTGGACTGAGGTTATTTCATACGACAGATATAAGGAAGTACGATGCTGGGGTGATTGAGGCTGGCCTCTGGGTAAGCCTCTTCCACACCATCCCTCCAGGGATGCCTGAATTCCAGTCTGAGGGTCACTGCACTCTGGAATGCCTAGAAGAGGTATGTAGAACATAGAGTCTGTGAGCTACTAGTCATAGATTCATCAGTGCTCTTGGAAACTATGTTTGGAAAATCCCATGCTTGTTGTTATTAATCTTTTTCTTGTTGTCATGCTGTAAAGCCATTATTTATCATTGTGGCAACCCTTTGACTGCTTTTTTAAATCTTGAAGGCTGTAGGAGTAGAATTCTGGACAAGAATAACTTCCAGGATGTTTTCCTTCCTGACCTACTTCCTTTGGTTTTTTTTCATATTTGACACTTTATCTTTTACAATTTCTACCTTGGTTCATGTGGTCTGTTTTCCATTTCTCAACTTCACTTTTTAATCCAGATTTGTTTTTTCCATTATTCATTTTCATTTTTTTCTCCTTTTCTCTGCTTTATAGTTTCCGTCCTACGTAAACCAAAGAGCAAGAGTACCTAATATAAAAATGCATATTGAGTAAGGAAAACCATGTAAAGTATTTAATTATGGATACTTCCATTTACAGTTCTTTTTTCTTAAATAAATGTATTTCAACATGGATCATATTCTTTACAAATTATAAGCTATTATATTGTAGACAGATGGCAGACTGATGAAGTGGAAAGATTATGCCCTTTGAGTTATTTAGATCAGGATTCAAATTGCCATGACATCATGTACTAGCTGTAGGACCAAGGGCAATTCATGGAATTCCACTCTTCCACTTGGTTTTCTTATCTTGGAAAGTAGGAATCATTTCTCCTTTTAAGAGTTTCTATTTACAGGTTACTAACATACTGGAATCTTTTTGCCAAGAGCTTTGATTGACTCTTTACCTCCTAAAAGAAGGAAAAAGAAAGATAACATTTAGAAGTGGTCTGGTAGGTCCTCAGTAAGCATTATTTCCCTTTCTTTTCTGCCTGCAAATGTTACTTCACAAAGATAACACTGCTAGGAATAAGTCATGAAAAATCCAAATTCAAAATGTTTGGCTGCTTAAGCATTCACTTAAATTGCTTTAGATTTTCTTCTCAGTTGTCCCTCCAACTCTCTTTTATGGTGAACTGTCTGAACATGTGCTTGTTTGGGCTAATTCTGTGTTCCTCTGTGTGCCCCGCCTGTAGGCTCTGGAAGCTGAAAAGCCAAGTGGAATCCATGTGTTTGCTGTTCTTCTCCATGCTCACCTGGCTGGCAGGGGCATCAGGCTCCGTCATTTTCGCAAAGGGGAGGAAATGAGATTACTGGCTTATGATGACGATTTTGACTTCAACTTCCAGGAGTTTCAGTATCTAAGGGAAGAACAAACGATTTTACCAGTATGAATGTTTTGTTCTTTTTCACTGAATCTTAGAAAAGTCAAGGCATCTATCTACTGTGATTTAGCAAGGTTTTCTACCAGTAAAGTGAATTGCTCATGGTATTCACATTCTTGAAGCCACCCACTGTGGGTGTTGCACAACCCAGATGGAATGTGTTTGATCTGATTCCCAAAATCAAACTCACTTTTCTTACCATTCCCAGGGGCAACTCACATTGTTGATTTAAAAAGAAAAGAAAAACTTGGGTTCTGAGTACCAAACACTACTCTTTTCTTTGCAAACCTTTGGGTTACAATTCTGGTAATACAAAAATCAGAGATTTTTTTTTATACCAGAGAAGAATTTTGGGGAGCTCGATCTTGGTAAAAATGAAGATAAGGATAATTCTTTCATCTGACAAGGGTTTTGGACAGAGCTAACTATCCAGCTTGCAACAATACTTGGGGTTATGGAAGGACAGTGTGGAAGGACAGTGTGTTGAGAACCTGATCCGTGGGCCTTCTGAGTAGTGGGCCAGGAGAGCAAATCTAGGGACCAGCACCCAGCACAAGCTGCCTCTGGTCCATGAATAGCCTGTCCATTGACCTGAGTGGTGAACCATAAACAAAATTATTTTCTGTGTATGCTGAATTGTTCAAAAGTTAGAAAACATTGGAACAATAACTATTACTTTGCTTCACAATTCTGTTGTGAGGAAATAAAGATGTGACTAAAGACCATTAAAGAAAATAATATAAATGAAGAGGGCATCACAATAACTAGTATTTGTGGGTAACATTTATGAAGTGTTTAATCTGCACTAAGAACTAGATGCATGTTATGTCGTTTAATCTGTTCACAAAGCTGTGCAAAATAACAGCTATTTTATATAATTATTTTTTAAATAAATAAATTGTGCCCAGGTAATTCTCTTCCTTACCTAAGGCCATGCAGCTAGAACATGGTGGAGTCTGACCTGAGAGAGCCTTATTTGTTTGTTTGCTTGTTTATTATACTGACAGTCTTAGAATTAAGTAGCTCAAGGTTCCCCTGGATCAAATTTCTTAATGAATCTACTCACATAGTAAATAAAACTATTGGCCTACAAACGTATTAGATAAATAAAACAGCCTCAAACTCCAATCTGAAAGCTTTCATTTTTATGTTCTAGGGAGATAATCTAATTACTGAGTGTCGTTACAACACAAAAGATAGATCCCGGATGACTTGGGTAAGAAAATTTTTATGATTATTAAAATTCATTTATGGAGAAAGACGAATAAACTTTGATTTTAGAGGAGAAAAAGCAAAAAGCATTCCCATTTTGGAGACAAAATTCCTGAACATCTTGAGCAAGAAACATCACAAAAGTGAAATCAGAGCTATTTTAGCATTTTATCAGATTAACTAATGATTCTACAGCAAATTTGCGGTATAATTTATTAACCTTTTCATGAAAAGCTATCCTAGTCATTTAGCTTTTTCTCACCAAATCGTATTAATTAAAGACTTGTGGTTGCAAGTGACCAACTGCTTGAGTCCAGACTTAGATGAATCAAGAACTTCAAAAGGAAGAATGAATTGCATTCTGACCCAAAGAGAAATTTGGTCCAGCAGACTTACTGAGGACTCCTGACAAACACTCAAGAAATAGACCATTCATGCTTTACATAGTTTCTCCCAGGGAATACCTCCCACCAACTCATTTTATGAAGTTAGCATAATCTTAATACTAAAACTTGATAATGACAGTATGAAAGAGGTCAACAACATGCACCTGATGGAAATATCTTTGATGGATAAATCCAGCATTATATATAAATGTAATGATAGGGAAAAAATGTAATGTTAGGACCAGTTTGGGCTTAGCTAAGGAATGTAAATTGGTTTAAAATAGAAAATATATTAATACCATTCTACATTAAGAGATTGAAGGAAAAAGACATGTGATCAGGTCAATAGGGGTAGAAAAAAAGCCTTCATAAGATTTAAGTGAGTAATAAAAAAAGACCATTTTATAAACTAGGAATAGGAGAGAATTGTCTTAGCCAGATAAAGCTTAGCTATGAAAATCTGTAGCAAATATCAAGCTACTTGGATATTAGAAGTATTGCTTTAATATCAGAAGGAAGACAAAGATATGTATTATCATTTCCATTCAACATTGTACTGGAAAAGGAAAAAAATGAGACATATGGATCACAAAGGAAGAAGCAAAGAAGCAAAACACATTATTCACAGATATTATAATTTTCTACATAAAAACCTCCTCAAAATTGATATCTAAAACTAACTGTATTTTAGCATAAATACTAAATATATAAATACATTTTATAAACTAGGAATAGTTAAGAAACTATCTCAAGAAAATGCATTTTAAAACTCTAAGTTCTATAGAAATAAAATCTAACATTAGATGTGCTTGATCTCCATGGGGAAAAACTTATAAATCTTTATTTGCAAAACTTTATAGTGCACCTAAAGAAATGAAGAGATACTGTGTTCATGGATAGAAAGGTTCCATAAAATAAAGATAATCCTTCTATTCAAATTGGCCTATAAATTTGATATAATTTCAGTAAAAAAAAATTCGGAGAGATTTTATGATTTGAGGTTCTGGTATCCTAACTAAGACATCTTTGCCTAGTCATAGCTGTGAAGATTTTCTCTTATTTTTTCATATTTCTAAAAATTTTACAGTTTTAGGTTTTATATGGAGCAAATAGATTCTGAAATCTACATAGAAGAGCAAAGGGTTAATAATGGGCAAGACACTACTACAAAGTAAAAAATGGAGACAAGCTACTGGATATGAAGGCTTATTTTAAAGCCATGGTGATCGATAGTGTATTTGGGTCCAGAGTTAGAATAGAGGTACGTAATAGGAATCTTGGAGACTGACCTACAAACCCCCTATACAGAAACTTGGTTTAGAACAGACACAGTAACCATTTAAGTGGGAAAGAATGGACTTTCCATTAAAGAATACTAGCACAACTGGGTATACAATACACAAACAAGTCACAGGTAGATTAAATATTTAAATGTGAAAAGCAAAATCTTAAAGCAATTGGGAGAAAAACATAAGAATATATTTTTATGATGTTGGGGGTAGTAAGAACTTAAAACATAAAAAGCACGAACTATAAAAGATTGATGAATTTGACTACCTGAAATCTTTTGGTTGCCAAAAAGCACTATTAAGTAAGTGAAAAGACAAGTTTTAAACTGAAAAAAAAAATGCAACACATAGATTAATAAAGCATTAGTATCCAGCATATAAAAGAAATTTCATAAATCAGTAATGTAAAACAAATAGACCATAGAAAAAGAGCAATAGACACAAACGTTTCACGGAAATAAAAGCCCAAATAGATAATAAACATATGAAAGGATGAAATGAAATTTCATTTGAAATCAGGATCATGCAAATCTAAACCAGAAGGAGATATTTTATACCCATCAGTTTGGCAATATTTAAAATTGCAATTCCAATGTTCTAAGACTGGAGTCCTCACACACAGCTAAATGTAAATTTATAAGACCACCTTGGGGAAAAGCATGACATCATCTGGTAAAGTTGGAGATTCATAGATGCTCTACCCAGTTCCATTCCTGTGTGGATTTCACCTTAAGGTTCCTTTTGCAGGAAGGGTTCCAGGAGAAAATATGTAAAATATTCATAGTAGCACGTAACAACACAGGAACACAAAGCTGGAAACAGCTCAACTATTTATCAAAAAGAGAACAAATAAATACAGTATAATATGTCCATAGAATATATTTATAGTATATATCTGTGAAAATTAATGAATGAAAGCCACATATGTTAACACGAATGTATCGGAAGAACAAAAATGGCAAGTTTGCAGCCGACCATAGGCATAGGTATGATGTCATGTATCTAAAGTAGAACATACAAAATGAAAATGTCATTTAGGGATGCATACATACGTCAATAAATGGAATGTAAAGGGTTTGAAAAGCAATAGAATGATAAATCAAATAGTAAAATAATGCTCATTTTCAATTAGGATGGGGAAGAGGAGAATTAAAAATGAGCACAGAGGACAGTTAGTCCATTGGTGTTGGCTTTATTTGTCTCATGCCTTATATATGATTTTGTTTGCATGAAATATTTTACCTCAGACATCATACCTTATTATTTTAGGGGATATTTTGGTGGTCTGCCTGGATACTGTCCCTCTTCAGGGCCAGCACAGCTAAAAACCAGCCACTGAAAATACCAGATGATAACTCACAACCATGTCATTCACTGGGCATTGCCCTTGGTGTCAGGGAATGCCCCACTTGAAGTTATGCTCCCTGCAGTGGGGCAGCCAGCAGCCGATGACTGGTTCATGGGAAGATACAAATGCCCGGCTCCCTTCCTACAATTTAGTACCACTCCAAATAGCCATCCCAGCTGAAGGATAAATTAAATATTATTTTTACTGAGGCATCACTTGTAACCTCATTTGTAAATCAGCTTCTCCCTTTGCCCAATCCTGCTTTGCTCATCAAGTGCAAAACATTGTGTTTTGCAATTTGTAAAATCATTGCATTTTAGCCACTGCATTAATTTAGAACTATGAACAATACTGCCAAGTTTTGCACCTTCATTTTTTGAAGAACAGATCATTGGCTGGATACAGAATTCTTGGTTGATTTATTTTTCCCTGCAGCCCTTAAATATGTAATCCCAATATCTTTTTGTTACTTCCATCATTTATGATGAAATGTCAGCTCTCATTTGTATCATTGTTCCCCTGCATGTGATGTGTCCTTTTTTTCTTACTGCTTTCAAGATTTTCTCTTTGTCTTTGGCTTTCAGCTATATGACTATGATGTGTCTAGGTATGGCTCTCTTCATATTTATATTTGGTATTTGTTGAGCTTCTTGGGTCTGTAAGTGTTTTTCACTAAATTTAGGAAGATTTCAGCCATTATTTTTTCAAATATTTTTTCTATCCTTTTCTATCTTCCTTCTTATTCTGGAACTCTAATTGCATATATGTTGGAACATTTAATATCGTATTTTGAGGTATTTTCTGGAATATTTTCACTTTCTTTAGTGTTTTTTTTTTTCTTTCTCTGTTTTTCGGATTGGAAAATTTCTATTGTTCTATCTTCAAGGTCACTGATTCTTCTGCCATCTCAAATCTGTTGTTAAACTCATCCTGAGAATTTTTTATTCAATGACGGTAACATTTAACTCTAGAATTTCTATTTTCTTCTTTTTTATGTTTTCTTTCTCTGGTGTCATTCTCTGTTTGTTTACTCATTTTTGACATATTTGCCTTTAATTACTTGAGCATCTTTCTTTAGCTTTTTAAACATATTTTTATCTCTTTCTAAGTTTTTGCTAAATGCAGCATCTGTAGCTTCTCACAATCAGTTTCTGCTGGTAACTTTTTTATTTTCTGAGTGCAGATCAGTGTTGAAAATTCAACACTGTAGATAATATGTTGTAACAGTTCTAGATTCTGTTCTCCTGAGGAGCTTTCATCTTTTTACTTTCAGTAGCTAATTTACTACCTTGATTTAAAATGTGAACTCTGACTTCTCTGTGGTATGTGTCTTCTGATGTTTATACATGACAACAAGATTATAGAAAATTCAGTGCATTCAGGCAAAGATTCCATCAACCCGACTGATTGGTATCATGTTAACCAAACATCCCCATAAGCCTCTCAAATGTTCACTGTGGTGAGGAGTTTACATCATACGAACAGAACTTGACAGAAATTATTAGGTTGTTTAAGAAAGGCAACTTTTAAGAGATGGAAATCATTCTATTAATTTTTTAATGTGTCTCTACCTCTTTAAAAACCAAATTGTCACTCAGATTATTATTACTCAGCTTTCAGATTTATTACATTTCAATATTGGATGGAACTGTATGACATTGGTGGCCTGTGTGCTCTACGTGTCAGAGTTGGTGGAACATAAACTTTTCTAAATAAAATATCTCCATTTTCAGGGAGGATTAAGCACCAGAAATGAAATGTGTCTGTCATATCTTCTTTATTACCCAAGAATTAATCTTACTCGATGTGCAAGTATTCCAGACATCATGGAACAACTTCAGTTCATTGGTGTTAAGGAGATCTATAGGCCAGTCACGTAAGTAGTAAACGGATTTCATAGTGGGGTCGTATACTTCAGAGAAGGATGGGATTCATTTTCATTTTGGATTTATCACCACGTTATGGAATTCTTTTAAGTCTTGTTCTGTTTACTTATTTTTAGCTGGGGTGACAAGGTGAGCTTCTTGGTTGGTATGTCCAGGGTCCCCAAGACTCCCACCAGGTTCAGTGATTTTTCTAAGAGGACCTAAAGGATTCAGCCTATTATTGTATCCATGGCTAATATTTATTACAGAGAAAGAACACAAAGCAAAAATAACAAAAGGAAAAGGCACATGGGCCAAGTCCAGAGATAACCCAGTACAAGTGTCCAAGAGGCCTCTCCTGTGGAATCACATAGAATGTACTTAAGTCTACTAGCATCGAAGTATGACAACATGCACAAAGTGTTGTCAGTGAGAGATACTCATTAGAGACTCAGCACCCAGAGTTTTTATTGAGGGCTGGTTATATAGTAAGTACTAAAATCTAGACTCCTAGAAGGAAAGCAGATGGTCAACATAAATTGCGTTGTTTGTCCAAATAGTCGAGGCACAGTGAGTCACTCTTTATTTAGAGAAAGTTTTATATCAGTATGGGAAATTGTTTACTACTTAGGTTCGCTGATGCCCGCCAAAGTCCAGCCTTCCAAACAAGCATTTCTAAGGATGGAATTCTCAGGACTACTATGTTCACTCGCTCTGCACAATTGCACATCATAGAAACTACTCAAGATAAAATAATAAACAAGATATATATTATTTCTGCCCTCTTGGGATTATATTCTAGAGTGGGTGAGGGGTAAGAAACAATATAAAAATAAAATTTCAGATATTAGTAAATGTTATGAAAATAAGACAGTGAAGAAAGTATGTAGCTGTTGTCAGTAGGGTGGTAAACGCCTCCCTGGGAAGGTCTCTTAGTCTGTCCCGGCTGCTGTAACATAGTACCATAGACACAGTAACTTATAAACAACAGAAATTTATTGCTCACAGTCTGGAGGCTGAGAAGTCCCAGATCAAGACGCCAGTGGATTCAGTGTCTGGTGAGGACTCACCTTCTCATAGAGTCTTCTAACCGCAACCTCACATGGCAGAGGGTAAGAGGGAGCTTTCTCAAGCTGCTTTTATGAGGGCGCTAATCGCATGAGGGGATAAGACCCCAGCTCATAATACCATCACCTTGAGTGTTAAGATTTCAACATATGAATTTTAGGGGGGGATATAAACATTCAGTCCATGGCAGGAGGTGATGTTTGAGCAGAGACCTAAGTGATGAGAAGCTAGCCATGGAAAGATATAAAGTGTACTCTTTGCAGAGGGGCGCCTGGGTGGCTCAGTTGGTTAAGCGACTGCCTTCGGCTCAGGTCATGATCCTGGAGTCCCAGGATCGAGTCCCGCATCGGGCT